ACACGGAAGGATCCGCACATGTGCAGGAAGTGCAGCGGGCTCTCTTCATTCGCGAGCGCTAATGACCAATGATGCTCGCAACCCTCCCACGCCCTTGCTGGCTTGGCAATAGGCCCAGACAAGCGCAGCCTGGTGACCCGGTAGACGAAAAACGCTCCGAACGAGCGCTTCTAGCCCCAAAACGCAGAAGGACCCGCACATGTGCAGGAAGTGCAGCAGGCGCTCTTCATTCGCGAGCGCTGATGACCAATGATGCTCGCAACCCTCCCACGCACTTGCTGGCTTGGCAAAAGGCCCATACAAGCGCAGCCAGGTGACCCGGTAGAAGAAAAACGATCCGAACGAGTGCTTCCATACCCAAAACGCAGAAGGAACCGTACATGTGCAGGAAGTACAGCCGGCGCTCTTCATTTGCGAGCGCTGATGACCAATGATGCTCGCAACCCTCCCACGCCCTTGCTGGCTTGGCAATAGGCCCAGACAAGCGCAGCCAGGTGACCTGGCGGAAGAAAAACGCTCAGAACGAGCGCTTCTAGCCTCAAAACGCTGAAGGATCCGCACATGTGCAGGAAGCGTAGCGGGCGCTCATCATACGCGAGCGCGGATGACTGATGATGCTTGCAACCCACCCACGCCCTTGCTGGCTTGGCAATAGGCCCTGAGAAGCGCAGCCAGGTGACCCGGTAGAAGAAAAACGCTCCGAACGAGCGCTTCCAGCCCCAAAACGCGGAAGGATCCGCACATGTGCAGGAAGTGCAGCGGGCTCTCTTCATTCGCGAGCGCTAATGACCAATGATTCTCGCAACCCTCCCACGCCCTTGCTGGCTTGGCAATAGGCCCAGACAAGCCCATCCTGGTGACCCGGTAGACGAAAAACGCTCCGAACGAGCGCTTCCAGCCCCAAATTATGGAAGGATCTGCACATGTAAAGGAAGTGCAGCGGGCGCTCTTCATTCGCGAGCGCTGATTACCAATGATGCTCGCAACCCTCCCACGCCCTTGCAGGCTTGGCAATAGGCCCTGACAAGCACAGCTACGAGACCCGGCGGAAGAAAAACGCTCGGAACGAGCGCTTCTAGCCCTAAAACGCGGAAGGATCCACACATTTGCAGGAACTGCAGCGGGCGCTCTTCATTCGCGAGCGCCGATGACCGATGATGCTTGCAACCCACCCAAGCCCTTGCTGGCTTGGCAATAGGCCCAGACAAGCGCAGCCTGGTGACCCAACGGAAGAAAAACGCTCAGAACGAGCGCTTCTAGCCTCAAAACGTGGAAGGATCCGCACATTGCAGGAAGTGCAGCGGGCGCTCATCATTCGCGAGCGCCAATGACCGATGATGCTTGCAACCCACCCACGCCCTTGCTGGCTTGGCAATAGGCCCAGACAAGCGCATCCAGGTGACCCGGTATAAGAAAAACGCTCCGAACGAGCGCTTCCAGCCCCAAAACGCGGAAGTTTTCGCACATATGCAGGAAGTGCAGCTGGCTCTCTTCATTCGCGAGCGCTAATGACCAATGATGCTCGCAACCCTCACACGCCCTTGCTGGCTTGGCAATAGGCCCAGACAAGCGCAGCCAGGTGATCCGGTAGAAGAAAAACGCTCCGAACGAGCGCTTCCAGCCCCAAAACGCGGAAGTTTTCGCACATATGCAGGAAGTGCAGCTGGCTCTCTTCATTCGCGAGCGCTAATGACCAATGATGCTCGCAACCCTCCGACGCCCTTGCTGGCTTGGCAATAGGCCCAGACAAGCGCAGCCAGGTGACCCGGAAGACGAAAAACGCTCCGAACGAGCACTTCCATTCCCAAAACGCGGAAGGATCCGCACATGTACAGGAAGTGCAGCGGGCGCTCTTCATTCGCGAGCGCTGATGACCAATGATGCTCGCAACCCTCCCACGCCCTTTCTGGCTTGGCAATAGGCCCAGACAAGCGCAGCTACGTGACGCAGCGGAAGAAAAACGCTCGGAACGAGCGCTTCTAGCCCCAAAACGCGGAAGGATCCGCACATGTGCGAGAAGTGCAGCGGGCGCTCTTCATTCGCGAGCGCCGATGACCGATGATGCTTGCAACCCACCCAAGCCCTTGCTGGCTTGGCAATAGGCCCAGACAAGCGCAGCCTTGTGACCCAACTGAAGAAAAACGCTCAGAACGAGCGCTTCTAGCCTCAAAACGCGAAAGGATCCGCACATGTGCAGGAAGTGCAGCGGGTGCTCTTCATTCGCGAGCGCCGATGACCGATGATGCTTGCAACCCTCGCACGCCCTTGCTGGCTTGGTAATAGGCCCAGACAAGCAAAGCCATGTGACCCGGCAGAAGCAAAACGCTCGGAACGAGCGCTTCCATCCCCAAAACGAGGAAGGGTCTGCACATGTGCAGGAAGTGCAGCGGGCGCTCATCATTCGCGAGCGCCGATGACCGATGATGCTTGCAACCCACCCACGCCCTTGCTGGCTTGGCAATAGGCCCAGACAAGCGCAGCCTGGTGACCCGGCGGAAGAAAAACGCTCAGAACGAGCGCTTCCAGCCCCAAAACGCTGAAGGATCCGCACATGTGCAGGAAGTGCAGTGGGCGCTCTTCATTCGCGAGCGCTGATGACAAATGATGCTCGTAACCCTCCCACGCCCTTGTTGGCTTGGCAGTAGGCCCAGACAAGCGCAGCTAGGTGATGCGGTAGAAGAAAAACGCTCCGAACGAGCGATTCCAGCCCCAAAACGCAGAAGGATCCGCACATGTGCAGAAAGTGCAGCGGGCGCTCTTCATTCGCGAGCGCTGATGATCAATGATGCTCCCAACCCTCCCACGCCCTTGCTGGCTTGGCAATAGCGTACATGGTACCTGCACTACAGGCGCGCATACCGACCAAACTGACCAACGCATTACTTGTGTTTGTAGAGATGCAGTTAGTACCATATTCTTGCTAGTCCAGTGGATTAGGCCTTCTACTCAAACACTAGGTTCGAACCTTTCCGAACCACATAATTTGAGATATATCAGAGTTTTAATTCCGCCTTGTACCTGCACACAAGCGTGCATATTAACCGAACCGGCCGACGTATTATTCTCTCTGTACAAATACAGTGAATACCATATATATTTCGATTTCATTTAAATTATACCATTCCCCACCCCCCTACCATGTTAAAACCTATTGGATTGATGTAATTTGGCTGATATAAACATTCCAATCGTACATGGTACCTGCACTACAGGCGCATATATCGACCAAACTGACAAGCGCATTACTTATGTTTGTAGAGATGCAGTTAGTATCATATTCTTGCCAGTACACTAGATTAGGCCATCTACTTCAACAACACTAGGTTATAACCTTTCCGATCCACATAATTTGGGAGATTTCAGAGTTCCAGTTCCGCCTTGTACCTGCACACAAGCGTGCATACTGACCTTACCGGCCAACGCATTATTCTCTCTATAGAAATATCCTGAATACCATATGTGTTCCCATTTCCTTTGAGTTATACCATTCTCCACCCCCCTACCAGGTTTTAACCTTTTGGATCTATGTAATTTGGCTGATATAGACATTTCATTCGTACATGGTGCCTGCACTATAGGCGCGCATACCGACCAAACTGACCAGCGCATTACTTATCTTTGTAGGGATGCAGTTTGTACCAAATTCTTGCCAGTCTACTAGACTAGGCCTTCTACTTCCACAACACTAGGTTCTAACCTTTCCGATCCACATAATTTGAGAGATTTCAGAGTTCAAGTTCCACTTGTATCTGGACACAAGCGTGCTTACTAACCGAATCGTCCGACGCATTATTCTCTCTCTACAAATACAGTGAATGGCATATGTATTCCTATTTCCTTTAGAGTATAACATTCCCCACCCCTTTACTATGTTTTAACCTATTAAATCTATGTAATTCGGCAGATATAGACATTCCAGTCGTACATGGTACCTGCACTACAGGTGCGCATACCCACCAGGCCCTCATATTCACTTTTAGGGACGTTGATGCATCAGGGTCCTTGTGAAAAAAATCATGAACTTTCAGGGTTCCTAAAAACAAAAGCCTGATTTTTCAGGGTTCCTAAAAACAAAAACCTGAATTTTAATCACATTATGATTTTGTATTTGAAAGTATTTTTTAAGAAACATGAGAGCCGAGGAATTCGAACCGGAAACTTTACCATTCGGTATGATTTCCCTAACCACTGAGACAGTTCACCATATATCTTAGTCATCTTCAACCTATATTGTGGAAATGTTGGTTGACCGAATCTTTCCGGTGGTTTACATGAAGGATTCGGAATGTTCATTCAGTGTACACTTCGATAAAAGACTGAAAAATCAGTGTTAGCTATGAAATAAAGGCTCAAAAATCAGTGTCACAAAAATCTCAACACTGGAAAATCAGTGTAGGTACACAAAACTAGGCTGAAAATCAGGAATTTCAGGGGAAAATTCCCGATATCGTAGGGCCTGATACCGACCAAGCTGACAAACGCATTACTTATGTTAGTCAAGATGCAGTTAGTACCTTATTTTTGCCAGTCCAGTAGATTATGTCTTCTGCTTCAATAACACTATGGTATATCATTTTTCGATCCACATAATTTGAGAGATTTGAAAAATTACCATGCTCACCTCGGGCTTTAAGGTACAGCCCTGATGGGTCAAGGTACCCTGAAACCAATCTGAGGGCCTGTTCTAACACTACGTACATTTGAATACCATTGCTCGAATCGAACTTATACGCACATACCGTAAAAGGTCATATGTGGTCTACTACCTTAGTATCTACTACTGGCCAACATAAGAAATTGGGCCATGTACATGGCCCATGTTACATCATTATTTCAAGAAGCATGACTTTTTCAAACTCACATTTATAATGGCTGCACTGCAGTTCTATAGTTCATGCGTTTTGACAGCTCGGATTAGGATACAGCGTTTGTGGAATGCACCTAAACGGTTTCACCTATCGTGAGGAGCTTAGATGTGGACAGATCATGCGTGTGAGCATCTACCCTGTGTGCACGAAGGTGGCACTGCGTGCATCTGTGTGTGTGTCCCCCACCTTCACATCAAAGGCCATGCCTGGTGGTGGGCTCTCATGGTCGCGCCGTGCCAGGAAGGTGCGCGCGGCGTTGTGCACCTGCCACAGGCTGCACTTCCACAGCGCTGCGCCCTTGCGGTCGCGCCATATGGGCAGCCGCCCCAGCTCCGCCGTACCCACTGCGCCCGCCGCCACGCACGCCACGGCGCTGCGGTCGGGCTCGTAGTAGTCGGGCACCGCCACGCACCCCACCGCCACATACCCCTCCGGCGCCCTCGGCGCCCAGATCGTCACCGGCGTGCACGCCCCGCTGTCCGTGTCCCGCCACACCTGCCAGCAAGCACACGAGGGGTGGGGGGGGAAGGAGGGGGGCGTAAGTTACAGGGGAGGTGACATGGCTAACCTTGTTTGTCGCGTAGCAGGGGGTGGAGGCAGCGTGGGGGGGAAAGGGTTGCGGCAGAGGGTTGCGGAGAGCGGAGAGCGGAGAGAGGAGAGCGGAGAGCGGAGAGAGGAGAGCGGAGAGCGGAGAGGGGAGAGATGGCTGACCAGATCGAAGCCGAGAGGCGGAGCGAACTTGCCGGCGCCGGTGTCGAGATAGACGGTGCTCCTCACCGGCTGGTCGTACCCTGGTGTTGCCACGTCCCCCACCGACACATACCTGCCGTGGCGCAGCGCAGCAATATGGGCAAGGAGAAGCTTGGGGGCAGAAGGATTAGGGCAGAAGCAGGCAATGTTGAGAGAGAGGGCAGAGGTAGCACGAGGGAGGATGAGCAAGGAAGGCAGCATAGACACAACAAGTGACAAGCGACTCAAGGTTACTGTCAGAAAAGCTCGGAAATTTCTCTAGCCGCTGCTGCTCTCACTCATCCCACCGCATTCATCCTGCCGTGCTGCTCGCACTCATCCCACCATGCTGCTCGCACTGACCCCACCTCCCACCAGTGGTGCCCTCACTCACCCTGGGCGCAGGATGGGGCGCCAGATGGAGACGGGGAACTTCTGGCTCCACACCGCTCCCTGCACCATGGGGGCGGGGAAGGGGGGGGTCAAGGAGGGGGGCAACCACATCAGTTCACACACATGCACGCCCTGCTGCCACCTTCAGCTTAATTGCCTCTCACCTTGTCCCACCACATGAGCTTGAATGCCTCTCACCTTGTCCCACCACATCACCTTGAATGCCTCTCACCTTGTCCCACCACATGAGCTTGAATGCCTCTCACCTTGTCCCACCACATCACCTTGAATGCCTCTCACCTTGTCCCACCACATGAGCTTGAATGCCTCTCACCTTGTCCCACCACATCAGCTTGAATGCCTTCACCACAATGGCAGGCGGCCCATTCACGTCCGCCCCTACCACGTCCCCGGAGCTGCCTCTGCCCGTCATGGCACGCGGCCGAGCGGGGCCGGAGGCAGGAGCAGCGAGGGAGGGGCGGTGGCGCGCGGAGGGGGAGGCGAGGTCGCCATGGCTGTCGGCCTCCAGCATCACCTGCCCCGCGCCGCCCACCAGCGCTCCAAACGTCGCCATCACCGGCACCACCACCGGCGCCGCTGGCCCCGCCAGCAGCCCCAACGCCGCCCCAGACGCCGCCCCCGCCCCCGCCCCCGTGTACGGTCGACTCTCCTGCCGCCGCTTGCGCGTCTGGGAGGACCGGGAAGGGGATGGGGGGGCGAGGGATGGAGAAGCTCACACCGAGATGACTCACTGGCTGTATAGTTAGGCAACTGAGCAGGCACAGCAGTGGCACCTGAGCAGGCACAGCAGTGGCACCTGAGCGGCGACGGTGGCCCGATCGGGGCCGAACTGGTCGAGGGCGCGCTGGATGGCGTCTCGCACTTGCTGAGCCTGCTCCGTGCCCACCTGGCACAGCACCACGCGGGCAATCTCCTTGGCGTCCAGCAGCCGCACGTCTGCTGACCACTCCCGCAGATGCAGCACCACACGTGACGGCGGGGCGGAGGGCGGCTCATCGCGGCCGCGCATGACCTCCAGAGACAGCAGGTCGCCCCACGCCACAGCCCACACGATGCTGCACGCCTCCCGAGTCAGGTCCGGCTTGCGACCCCCCGCAAGTGCTCCACCGCCCGGTTGCTGCGGCACTCGCAGGCGAGAGCAGTGGGAGGGGAGCACAGCACATGTCAGACAAGAATATCCATGGCGCACTCCCAACCCGTGCACCTAACGAACACCAGCTCCCTCCGTCCTCCCTCCCGCCCCTCTCCATTTCCCCCCACACCCCCCCTCCCCCCACGCACCTCGAGCAGCATGGTGCGCTGGTGGGTGATCATGAGGATGCGGCGCGCCGGCAGGTGGAAGTGGTCCTCGTAGGCGTCGCTCAGGGCGAACTTGCCCTTCTCACGGATGTCAAACACGCTCGCCCCCGTCAGCGCGCCCCACTCCGCCAGCTGCAGGATGGTCTGCCCGCGCGCCGCGTACTCGTCGTACGGCCGCACCACGTGGTCGCCGCGGATGGCACGCGGCAGGCGGCGGCGCCGCAGAGCCAGCTTGGCGGTCATGGCGGCGGAGAGGCGAGCGCGCTCCGCGTTGACGCCGTCGGTGGTGCGGCTCACCAGGTCCAGCACGCCGCTCACCGGCTGCGCCGCCGCCCCGATCAGCCCGCGCCCCACGCCCGCCACAAAGCCCTCCACGCCGCCGTCCCGTGCGCCCTCCATGGGCTTGGTGAGGATGCCCGTCACCCCGCGGAACAGCCCCTTGGCCAGCGCCTCCCCGCCCTCGCGCAGCCCGTCGCCCAGCGACCCCACGGCGGCCTTGGCGTCGTGCTTGTGGCGCGCGCGGATGAAGGCGCGGTCCATGCTCATGCCCGCCACCGCCTTGCTCACCTGCCCCACCACGCTGCTGGCGTTGCCCAGCACGTCCAGCCCCGACAGCAGGCGGAACGGCTGCGCCAGCAGGTCGTTGCTCACACTGCGCCCCGCCTCCGCCCACACCTGGCTGCGCCGCAACACCACCCCCTCCCGCACCCGCGGGGACAGGCGGATCTGAAAGACACAGAGGGGGGAGGAGGTGAGGAGGATGCGAGTGTTGGGATTTCATGCAAGGAAGAGTGAGTGAGAAGAGAGAGGGTGCACTGAAGGGGATGGCGCGCATTGTGAAAACGGTTTGAGCGTCACTGTAGCCATGCCACCTCACCTGCATCTCACTCCTAAACTCTCACTGGCATGTGGGCGGCAGTGTGACGCTCACCGGCATCTCATCGGTGTTGCCCATGGAGGCTCACCGGCATCTCATCGGTGTTGCCCATGGAGGCTCACCGGCATCTCATCGGTGTTGCCCATGGAGGCTCACCGGCATCTCATCGGTGTTGCCCATGGAGGCTCACCGGCATCTCATCGGTGTTGCCCATGGAGGCTCACCGGCATCTCATCGGTGTTGCCCGTGGAGGCTCACCGGCATCTCATCGGTGTTGCCCATGGAGGCTCACCGGCATCTCATCGGTGTTGCCCATGGAGGCTCACCGGCATCTCATCGGTGTTGCCCATGGAGGTGAGCACGGAGGTCCAGAAGCCCATCATGTAGCGCGGGCGGTGCAGCGGTGACATGGCCATCGTCAGCTTCAGCCGCCCCTCCGATATGTTCAGCAGCCTGCCCACGCCCACGCATGCACAGAGGAACGGGTGGAGTGAGGTGGTGCGGAATGCAGCAAGCAGAATGGAAACTCAATCACAAGCAGGCTTCCACGTGGAACACTGCAACCACTGCCAGAATTGATCTGGTAAATTGACTTCTTATCCAGTGCTTCAGGCAGGTCAGTTCAACACGTGGGACGTGAATGATGTGGGACGTGAATGATGTGGGACGTGAATGATGTGGGACGTGAATGATGTGAGTCGTGCATGATGTGAGTCGTGCATGATGTGGGACGTGCATGATGTGGGACGTGCATGATGTGGGACGTGCATGATGTGAGTCGTGCATCATGTGAGTCGTGCATGATGTGGGACGTGCATGATGTGGGACGTGAATGATGTGGGACGTGAATGATGTGAGTCGTGCATGATGTGAGTCGTGCATGATGTGGGACGTGCATGATGTGGGTCGTGCATGATGTGGGACGTGCATGATGTGGGTCGTGCATGATGTGGGACGTGAATGATGTGGGACGTGCATGATGTGGGACGTGAATACCCAACATGTGCGCTGCTCTCACCCAACGTGCACGCGCGGATCAAGGGAGACGGAGGTGGGGAGCGCGGGGGCGTCAAGGCGGTGGGCGGAGAGGCGCTTGACCATGTCGGCGAGACGCCAGATGATTGGCTCGTGGATGTTCACCAGCCATGCCGCACTCGGTAGCTGCCAGGACGGGGGGGGATGGGGGAGGGGGAAGGGCACCACATGGCTGGTTGAGTGTGCCGCCTTCAGCAGGCGAGCGTGGCTGATGGGGCCATGCACGAGGGCAAGGCAAGAGCTCAGGAAGACAATACAGAAGATGATGGCATGGGGGCATGTGTGAGGGGACGAGGCGGTACCTGCAAGCCGATGTAGGGGAAGGACTGCTCATCCTCGTCCCGTGCCGGGCGCATTGCCACAGTCAGCTTCAGCACGTACGGCTGCACCACCCCAGGTGGATCCTCAGGTGCCAGCAACACGGGCATGGCCGTCACAGCCAGCTGGTTGTCGATCTGCAGATGCCCCACCTGCAGCTTCACCCGGCTCACACCACTTCCCCCCGAGGTGCCTGGGCGGGCAGAGGTGGGAGAGGTGGAGTCGAGGGAGAGGAGGGCGCCGGTCATGGAGATGTAGAGCAGCTCCTCGGGGGTGGCGTCCACCACCGACACGCCGCACTCCTCCACCTCCACCACCACCACCACCCGCCGCTCCCCTCCGCCCCCCGCCCCCTCCGCTGTCGCCACCGCGCTGGCCCCCTCGCTCCCCACCGTGAGGGCGGGGGGAGGGGCAGTGAGGAGGGAGGAGGGCGTGAGGGAGAGCGCGAGGTGCACGAGGGAGGGATCGGAGGGGCGCCAGTCGTGCAGGCACACGCGCATCACGCACCCCCCGCCCGACGGCGCTGGCTCCCTGGCGATGGTGACGAGCAGCGGCGCGACGGGGCGGCCAGATGCGTTGGTGGCGGGCTCGAGCACGGCAGGGTCGTCAATGGCGACGCGGCGTGCCGTGGAGGAGTATGCGCCGTCCACCATGAGCTCCAGCAGGCGCAGCCCGCGGCCCTCCTCCCATGCAAACGACTTGGCCGCCCCCACCTGCAGCGCCTCCCACGCGTCGTCCCCTGCCCCCGCCTGCCGGTACCGCACCGGGAACAGCTGCGAGCGGTTCTCTATCCTGAGGGGGGAGGGGTGCGGGCGAGAGGGAGGTGCGGATTGACATGAGGGGAAATCTGTGCAAGGCGGGCAGGGGGGAAGTGGATTGGTAGCGCATCTCAGATATAAGGAGATAGCTAAGCAATAGCCGAAAGCACAATAACTGAGTGAACCTTAACTAGAGAAACAGTTTGTTGAACACCGGAAGTTGAAGTGAGATGAGATGTAAGGAACATGCAGGGGGGCACTGACTTGTAGGGCCCATAGGGGGGAGCGAGTGTGAAGACGACGTGGTAGCGGCATGCACTGGCGCCATCCACCACATCCGCCAGCAGCAGCTCCCGCCCCCGCCGCCCACTGCCGTCCCATGCCGCCCGCCCTATGGAGGGTGGGCGGCTGGGTTGCACGGCGTGGCGCATAACAACGAAGACACTGCCGTCGCCGTCGATTGAGAATGAGCGGCTCCAATCACAGCCGTCGATGCGCACCTGAGGGTGGGAGTGGGAGTGGGACACGGGGAGGGAGACGGATGTGACGGTGCAAATGAGGGCAGAGGAGAAGAAACGCAGGGACACGGGGGGCACAAGGGAGGGAGTTAAGGCACTGACACATGAGATCTAGGAGCCACCCACATGGCACAAACATGATATGACACCCGGTAGACACCACGCCACAATGCGCTCATCACACAGCATGCACACACTGCCCATGTGGCACCCACCTGCAAGTGTTCAGCCAGCCAGATGGACTCCCACACAATGGGCTTCATCGAATCAGCAGGTGCCAGGTGTCGGACGATGTTGCCGCCCGCCTGCCTGATGTGCAGCGGCCGCCCCGTGTGGTTGGAGAACACCGTGTGCGGCTGCAGGCGAATCACCTGCCAGCCAGCACCACGCACGCGCGCGCACACACACAAACAAACACACGCATGGGAGTGCGCAGGGATGCACACGGTTGTGATTGGGTGGAGCGTGAGGGCGAGTACATTGCGTGGAGGAGGTGAGTGCAGCAGGCGGAGAGGCATGCAGAGAGGCATGTGGTGCACGTGAAGAGGGTGGGGGTAAGGGGGGGGCGGTACCTTGGTGCCTTCGTAGCGCAGCGAGGACATGTCGAGGGACAGTGAGAGGCGCAGATAACTGCCTGCTGCGTCCACCGCCTTGAGGTCCGCCCGCTCCATCTGCTCCCGCCCCCCAGGGAGGACATGCATGGCGCAGGGAAGAGCGAGGGGGGGGAAGGGTGGGAGGGGGGGAGGGCAGGTGAAAGCAAGAAAGGAGTTGAGGGAAGGGAGAGTAAGCACATACTGTGTTGAGACGGAAGTTAAAAAAGGTGTTTCCATGCAGGCAATCACGTGGGCAAAAACAGCCAGAGACCACCCTCCGAAGCACGACTTGTCCAAATTGTCTTTTGTGTGACATGGGGGGGGGCCAATTGCACCTTGTCCTGGAAGGCGGTGAGGGGGATGGCGGAGCTGAAGACGCCCCCCTTGGAGAGCGCCACGGCCAGCCCCACGTTGGCCACGGAGGGCAGCGACAGCATCACCGCCTGCTGCTGCGGCGCCTCCTCGATGTCCTCCAGGCTTCGCACCACCTTGCTCGCCCCCACCGCCGCCACCGCCGGCGCCACCGCCGCTGCCACGGCCTCGCGCGTGCTGGCGGAGGCGGTGAGGCTGAGCGCGCGCGAGGAGAGGGAGCGCGTGGGCATCTGCCACAGCGACTCCGCTGCTGCCGCCGCTGCTGCTGTGGCGCCCGGGGGGGGTTCGATCTCGACAATGCGGCAGGCGAGGGGCATGGAGGAGTGGTTGGCGAGCCAGAAGGGCACAAACACCCGCACCACCCTCGCTGATGCCTCTGATGCCCCGCCACTCACCTCCAGATTCACGTGCAGCCGCCTGCAGGGTGGGGGGAGGGGCGCACAGGTGGCTCGGTGCAGCGAATGAGCCCGCTGCAAGCTGCAAGCCGCAAGTTGCAAGGTGCAATGGACGCATCGCCTGTGTGCCATTCTACCACTCAAGCACACCTCACCAATGTGCCTTCCCCCCTCCTCCCATTGCTTCCTCTGCATGCCCCCCCTCTCACCGCTTGCTCTGCCTGCCCCCCTCTGCGCTCACCGCTTGTTCTGCACGTTGGTCATCCAGAAGCCCCCCGGCACCTCGTGGGTGAGCGGGTCCCACAGCAGCACCGCGTCCTGTGTTCTCAGAGGGGGGGGGTGGGAGGAAGTGTGTGCAGCATGTGGGTTGAGTGCGCACCCACGCACCCACAGACAGAGCGGGTTGCATGCGGAGTGCAACCCAAAGAGCACAAGATGGACAAATCATGGGCAGCAAGGGCAGCGGCGCTGCACTCACCTTCTCCTGCTTCCAGCCGCCCTGAGGCAGCCAGGAGAGCAGCACAGGGCAGCGGATGTCAATGCTGTATGCATACACCGCCTCGCCTGGCCCCACCACTCCGTGCTGCCGTGCCACCGACCGTGACGCACCCCCCATGCCCACCATGCTGCCCACCCCCTGGGCCGCGCTGCTGCTGGGCTTCTCCCACACAAAGTACTCTGCGCTGCACGGAAGCCGGTTCTCCAGCTGCACTGGCGCCCGCAGCGTCACCCGCCAGTCCACCACCCCCGCCGCCCCCACGCCCTCCCCCCCCTGCAGCTTCACCCCATCGGCCTCCAGGCAGAACCACCAGCACCCACGCGTGCCGCGGCACTGCAGCAGCTCCTCGCGCTTGCCGCCCTTCTCCCACGACGCCGCCCGCATCAGGTCCGGCAGCACAAACGCCGTCGCCAGCTGCTGCCGCCGCGCCGCCTCCGCCCTGCTGCCCACCCCTGCGCTGCCCTCTCCGCCGTTGCCCGGCGCCCCAGGCACCAGCCGGCTCCACCCGTACTTCTCACTTCCTTTGCTGCTGCCTGCCGAGCCTGCAGCAGCCTTTGGCCGAACCTGCAGGCACCAGTCGGAGCCAGGGGAGAGGCAGCCCCAGGGAAGCGACAGGGAGTCCCCAGGAGCCAGTGTCCCCAGTGTCGTGCGCACGTGCTCCTTGGGCGCACCCGACGGGCGTGGCAGGCGGCGCCTTGTGCGCGTGAAGCGGCGGCGGCGCACAAAGTCGAAGGGGCCCTTGCTGTGCGCCACATTCGCCAGTGCGTCGGGCGACGCCAGCGAGCGGAAGTCCGGCGCATACAGCCACCCCTCCACATCGCCGGGTGCTGCCGGGTCGCGGTGCCACGCGCCCACCCACGCCCACCCACGCGGACACGCCTCTGGCAGGTCCTGGCACGCGTGGGAGAGGTCCAGCGCTGAGAAGCGCGCCGGGTCGCCGGGCATGAAGTGGCCGGGCCACAGCGAGCCCCACCCCAGCATGGGCTGGTAGCGCTGGTTCTCGTACCTCTCCTCCTCCACCTCCTCCTCCGCGTCCTCGTCTGCAAAGTCAAGCAGCACGAAGGGGCACACACACACGTCCACGGGCGCGTCCGTGGCGTTGCGCAGCAGCACCAGCGAGCGCAGCGTGACGCACTTGAGTCCCCCCCGCACCCCCAGCTCCGCCGCCACGGGCCGCCCCTCCAGGGCGAGCGCCAGCGTCATGATGCCGGCCATGGAGCGCACCCAACACCACTCGCCGTCCGGGCGGCACGCCAGCTGGATCAAACAGTCCGGCTGCTCCTGCCCCGCCTCCGCCACTGCCTGCTCTTGCTGCTGCTGGTGGGCCAGCAGATGGCCGCTGGGGCCGACTGTGAAGAAGACGGTTGCGATGCGCAGGCGAGGCGAGGCCTGTGCACGCACGGGCAGCAGGTGGCGGGTGATGGCGCGTGGAGAGGGAAACGGCAAGTGAGCACAAGTTAGATGCCTGTCCAACGTGCACCAATCTCAGATTCCTCATGTCATACCTGCTGCTGATGATGATGTTGTTGCTGCTGCTGCTTCCTCTTGGGCGGCTGCAGCACCAGGGTGTGCTGAGTGGCTTGGGAGGCGGGGGAGAGGCCGCCAATGCCGAGGGCGTCCGTGACAGCAGCCCAGTCGGAGAGGGTGGGCGCGGCAGCAGCAGTCATGGGCACAGCCGCCGTGCCCACCGTGGCCCCTCGCCCCGCATTGGCTGCCTGGTTGCTCACCACCACCTCAAGCCGTGACTCCTTCTGCGCCCACCCGCGCACCCACACCATGCCATGCCATGCCATGCCCCGTAACACAAGGGGGGGGGGAGGGAGGAGGAGGGGGAGCACACACGGCACACAGCAGCATGCAGGGAGAGGTGAGTGCACGGCAACATGCACACAGGTGGCCAGGACAGGGGAGGACCAGCACATACGTTCCATGAAAATATGCGCACACAGAAAGTCCCATCAGAATTACAAGCATGATTTCAGTGATGTGCATGCGTGCAGTCATGCATATGCAAGCAGAGACACATACCTGGGCCGGCACTTCGAATACAAACACCTCGTTCCACTGCACTCGCCACAGCTTTGCTCTCCCGCCCTCTCCCGCTCCGCCCTGCACCTCTCCTAGTGGCATAGCACACCCCATGCCCTCGCGCCCATGGGGGCATGCCAGTCCCCCTGCGGGGCGAATGGCGCGCGACCGGGCAGTCTGTGGCAGCTGCTGCCCCTTGGCCAGCGGCTGTGCGCCCGCCTCCGCCACGCGCAGCTTGCAGATGAAGTCCTCCCCGTTCAACTCGCTGCCCGGCAGGTCCTGCCGTCACACAGTCATTCGGGCGGCACAAAAGGGTGGTAGGTGTGCATGGTGGCTGTAAGGACGAGGGGGGAGAGCTTGGTGGGGCAGGACGGACCAGGGCAAGAGGAGTGTGGCGAGTGAGTGTGTAAGCAACCCGCCACCGGGCCAGGGCCCCATACGCACTTCCATCCAGCATCTCCCATATCTCCATACCCTCCATGTAGCCTCACCAGGCCCCCCAGCCCGCCTCACCAGCCCCTCTAGCCCGCCTCCCCAACCCCCCCCGTTTGCCTCACCAGCCCCTCAATGAGGCGCAGAGCCATGAAGCGCCGTGTGCTGCGCCGGCGCTTGCCGCCTGTACCGGCAGGGGCGGAGGGGCGCAGCATGTCGGGGAACTGGAAGGGCGGCAGCGGCACGGACGACGTGTGGGCGGGCGGCAGCGTGTAGAGATGCGCGAAGGCGTCCTTGGCGGAGCGTGCATAGAGAGGGGCGCCCAGGCGGTTGTCCACGAGCACTCGCAGGGCGTCCTCACGGTCCACCGCCACTCCCCCCTCCTCTCCGCCCTCCTCCCCCACTCCTTCCCCTTCTGCTGCCGCTGCTGCTGCTGCTGGTGATGCTCCCTGTGGTGAACATGTGAAGGAGAGAAGCGAAGTGAAAAAGGCAGGGGGTAATCGAATTGAGTTATGTCATCATTTTATGCAGACAGCTGCATGCACACATGCGCGCACACACACACACACACACACACACACACGCGCGCGCGCGCGCGCATGGCTGCACGCACACAGCCCCAGGTGTGTCTCACCTGCAGCAGGGCGCGCCTGGCATCAGCCTCGTGCTGCACGAGCTTGCTCCACCCATGCGTGGCGGCAGTGAGGGCGTCCACACTGGTGGCCGTCACGTTCACGTTCACCACACTCGTTGCCGTCACCCGCATCTGCACACTGCCCGCTGCCCCCGCCTCCTCGCTGCCCTCGCCCTCCCACTCGTACCTGTGGGACCGGGTGGCATGCACATGGGGCACTGCTGAGCACAGCCACGTGCCTGCCACTGCCACTGTGTGGCGCCACCCCGCCTTGACAGGCATGCTGCATGCAGTGGCTAAGAAAAAGCATGGCAAACAAATGGCGGAACGAGGGAAGACGACGCAGCAAGATTGGTGGCAAGTTGAGCAGCAGAAGAGGAGCGGTGGCAGTGGGAGGGCCGGGGAGAGGCGGGGAGGGGGGGTACTTGAAGATGGAGTCGAAGGGTTCGAGCAGCGGCTCCCAGAGGGCGAGGTGCGAGTTGAAGGACGAGGCCGCCACTGATGTGAGCACCACTGCGTTGAGCGCGTGTGGGCGGCCGTGCAGTGTCAGGTGTATGCCCTCCACCGTCACGTCCACCCACGGCACCATCTGTGACCCGCCATGCCCCATGGGGGGAGGAACGCAGGAAGACATGGAAAGCACACAATTCGGGATGACAATTGGTGGCATGCGGTTAGTGTGAAATGGCATGCAGAAATAAGGGAGAGAAAAGGTAAGGATTGTGAGGGGCAACGATGGGCAGGGAGGGGTGAGGAGGGGCAGGGGGGGAAGGGAGGGGTAGGGAGGGGCAGGGAGAGGCAGGAGGGGAAGGGAGGGGCAGGGAGGGGCGAGGAGGGACAGGGAGGGCAGGGAGGAGCAGGGAGGGCAGGGGGCTCACGACGCCGGAGACGTCATCGAAGAGGGTGAGGGAGACGCGGGGGGTGCGCAGGTTGGCATCGAAGTTGTCGGGTCGCTCCGGCCTCTCCAGCTCCGCCAGCCCATACCCCATCCTCTGTGGCGGCCGCCGCGCATCGCTGTGCACCAGAAACGTGCCCGCCTGCCACCCAGGGGTTGGGGTTCCATGGCAGGGGGGTGGGGGGGTTGGGAGGAGAGTGCACAGAGGGGGGTGGAGGCGCATGAGAACAGCAGGGCACAAGGGACGAAACCAAGGGCACATTTAAACATGCAGAACTGCATCGGTGGGAAAAGCGGCACTAAAGAATCGAATGCACTCTCAGGACAACTTCTACCCACTCCCACCGCCCCACTCCCACCGCCCCACTCCCACCGCCCCACTCCCACCGCCCCACTCCCACGGCCCCACCTGGTTGATGACGGGCCAGAAGCTGGCGATGGACTCTCCTTTGGGCGGCACACCCACAGTCCACGCAGGCCGGCCAGCAAAGCCCTTGGGCGCCAGCAGGTCAGCTCGCACACAGCGCACGCCCAGCGCTGCAGAAGGGGGCTCACGGCCGCGCGTCACCACGCACCCCAGCGCCACGTAGCCGGGCGGCGCCAAGGGGAACCACACTGAGGCCTCGTCGGGCCAGGCGGGTTGGGCGAGGGTGAGCTTGTGCAGGAAGCTGAGAGGCGCCGCCACGCGGCCTGATTCCAGGTCGTCCAGCAGCAACAGCCCCGCGTCAGGTGGGTCGAAGCTGCAAGGGGGAGAGGGGCGAAGGGGCAGCGGGGGGTCAAGTGAGAGTGAGTTCATACAGGGTGTGGCTGTGCAGAGGCAGTGCATGCATGGCATGTGGGAGTGTGGCGTGCAGGCATGCGCATGAAGGCAAGCGCTCGAGTGTGCTGCAGCCTCACCCGTCCGCCACACAGTCGCCCAGCATGGCATAGCCCGGCACTGCCGCGGGCCGCCAGAAGCTCACGTGGCTTGTCACGCCCGCCGCGCCCTTGCTCCACCACACGCGCTCAAAGCTTGCAGCCGCCACAAACGGCCGCACTGCTGCCCCTGCCGCACTACCCAGTGCGGACGCGGAGGCAGCGAGGGGCGGTTGGAAGCGTGAGGAGGGCAGGCGGCCAAGTGAATCTCCGCGCGCGGAGGGCACGCGGGTGAGCGAGGCGGACTCTGAGGAGGCTTGGGTGTCGGCATCATCGGGGTCGGGTGCGGTGGTGGCGGGGTGGAAACGCAGATCCTCCCTCAGGTCCCTCAGCACGGCGGGTGGTGGTGGGGCCGTGCCCTGGCAGGTGAAGAAGGTGCGCATGGAGTTGCCCACAACCCACATGCTCGCCCCTCCCCCCCTGCCGCCACCCCGCTCCGTGTCGCTAGCGTCACTCGTAGGCGACCCGGCACCAAAGCTGAGAGTGTGCCATGGGGGAAATGGGGAGCAGGGGCAAGGGGGAGCATCCGGGGCAAAAGGTTACCTAGCTGGGCCACGAATCACCTAGCTCGCAAGGAAGGAAGTGGGGAGACGTAGAGCAAGGGGGGAGTGGAGAGCAGCGATCATGCGGCTGGTACATGAGCGTGGCAGCATGGCAGCGAAACAGCGATGGCAAGGCAGGGCCCACCCACCGGTAGAAGATGCAGTCGCTGAGGGAGGAGGGAGTGAGCAGGTCGCTGCGCACACAGTGCACCGTGGACACGTGTGGCGGCGCTCGCCCCACGGCCGCCACGCATCCCAGCGCAGCATAGCCGGGCGGTGCCAGTGGCAGCCAGATGCGGCAGTGCGTGTCGTCCCCTCCCTCCCCGCCCGTTGCCACCTCCGCTGCCCCGTCTGCAGTGGTCGCAGCGGCAGTGGCGGCAGCGGGGTGGGAGCACCAGAGCAGGGAGAAGCCGAGGGGCTGCTTGACTCGTCTGAAGGCCGTGCTCACCGCCAGCACCGCGTGCTCTGGAGGTGCCGCCCTGCCATGTGTCGCACACACACGCATGTGGAGAAGGGGGGGTTGGGGTGGAAACACAAGTGAAGGAAGGTGGGGAGGTGAAGAAGGAGAGAGAAGATGGAACAAAATCATGGAGAAACGGTGCAGTGATAGCAGGGCGACACGCAGTGCAGCACGAGAGCAGCACGCAGTGGTGAATGGGGAGAGTGGGTGGGAGGTGGTCACCCCACTGTGGCGCAGTCGCCCAGGATGGCATAGCCTGCAGGCGCACACGGCCGCCACAGCGTGATGGGCTGCTCGCCCGCCCCTCCTTCCCCTCCCTCCTGTGAGTTCGTGCCTGTCAGCACGTGGGGCGCACAAGGGCAGGCAAAACAGAGTGGTTGAGGAGGAGGGGATGAAGAGCAGGGTGTGAAGAGAAGGGGTTCAAAAGAGTGATCAGAGATTTTGGAGTATTGAGAATGGAGCGACCCACAGGAGTTCCAGATGCGGTCGAACTGGCGGCAGCGCACGGCCACGGGCCCGCCGCCCAGCTTGAGGGCGGCAGCGACGTCAGCGTGGAGGCGGTGCAGCAGGCGCAGCGAGTGGAAGGGCAGGCGCAGCGACACGTCGGTGCAGGCGAGCTCGAGGGACGTCTTGCCGGCCACGCACTCGCGCTCGCAGTGGGCGTCCACCGGCTCCACCACCGCCAGCCCCGCTGCCGTCTCCACCAGCAGCCCCCTCACCGTCCCCTTCACCCACGTGTCCATCCCCTTCGCTGCGTACCTGCTCTCGAACAGGAAGGAGGGGCAGGAACGGGGGAGTGTCTTGGTTGAGGCGAGCTGCTCTGCAACAGCGGCAGCCTCTGTTGTTGCTGCTGCTGCTGTTGTCCACAAACCGGCCACTAACAGTTGTGCAATCCGTGGAGGCGAGCAGGGCAGCACAAATTGGAGTGTAAGGCGCACCCCACCCCGTTCACTCACACTCCACCCCTCACAGCTGCCTGGTGTCAGCAAACCTCGTGGCAGGCTGATGTGAGCTCCGCAAAGAGCAGCACTCACAGCAGGCTGACGTCAAAGCAGCACTCACAGCAGGCTGACGTCAAAGCAGCACTCACAGCAGGCTGACGTCAAAGCAGCACTCACAGCAGGCTGACGTCGAAGGAGGCGCGCAGAATCCTCTCGGGGCGGAAGGGGATGCCAGCCGGCCACTTGGTGCTGTCGTAGAACGTCAGCTCTGGCCCCACCGCCTGGGAGAAGGTGGGGGAGGGCCGGGTGGGGAGAAAGGGGAGATGGAAGGGGGGGTGGTTGGGGAGGGCATTTCAACAAGCCGGGCATGTTACAGAGTGGGGGTGAGCGGAGGTATGTGGGTGCATGGAGGTAACACTCACACCCGAAGGTACTGTACAGCCCACGCACCTGAAGGTCAAAGGAGAATGAGGTCTGCTCCGGAGGCACCTCTGCCTCCCCACCCGCGGCCGCACCCCCTGCATCTGCCCCGCTGCCCTCTCTGCTGCCTGCGCCCGCAGCAGCAGGGGGCCCAGCGGCGGGGGGGGTGTGGCGCCACACAACGCCGTCCTCTGGGTCGGCGGAGAAGCTGCTGTCACAGCCCAGGTACACACTCTGCTCCCACGCCCACGCACTCTGTGCTCACACGGTGTGCGGGGGGGTGGATGAGGTGTGGGGCAGAATGATCGGAGGATTGGGGAATGCGTGGGGCGACAGCCTGCCATAACTGTGAACTGAAGCCAGGTGAACAAGAGCAGGGCAGGAAGGGAAGTGAGAGACGGCAAGGAGAGTGGGGCGCACCTCCACAGTGATGTTCTTGAGGCGCAGGTGCTTCCCGTTGCCCACCACTATCACCGGCCCGCCCGCCACACCCTCGCCCTGCGCCTTGCCCGCCGGCACAGCTGTGCCCCCCTGGGAGTCAGAGGGCAGGAGGCGCAGCACCCCCCCGCACCCATCGTACTCGTACTCATCCACCCCTGCCGCCTCCGCTATCAGCTGCCGCTGCGGCGACACCGCCACCACCGCCTCCGCCTGTCGCGTCGTGCCACTTGTCAGCACCACAGCGTGAGCCAGGCTGGCGGGGTCATCTCGCTCGTCCCTGTCAGTGTCGTTGCCAGAGGAGGCGGCGAGGGAGGGGAAGAAGAAGTGGGTGACAGCGAGGAGGAAGTCGAGAGCCACGAGCACGCGGGGGCGCTGGAAGCGCAGCACCACGGCGCGTGCAGCGGGGCGAGAGGAGTAGTTCAGCACCACCATGCTCAGCGCCACCGGCGGTGACCCTCCCCCCCTCTCGCCCCCTCCGCCCTCATCTGCCGCCCCCCCTGCCTTGGCCCCTGCCGGCACTGCACCGTGCCCCGAGGGGGCGGGCGGAGTGTGGGTGTGGGCATGCAGGGCGGAGCCCATCATGAGGCGCAGCTCCTGGCGCGTGGCGGCGCGGCGGTCGATGATGGCCATGGTGGGCAGCGAGAGCATCACCTCCATCTCCCGCGCACTGGTTGTGCGGTACTCCACCCATAGGCCCTCGATCTGAGCACAGGTGTGTGGGGGGGGGGGGGAGAAGAGGCAGAGGAGTACCGTATCCATGACGCACAGCATGTCACAACCTGCAGCAGGGCCTGGCAATGCTACAGCAGGGTGAGGCAGTGGCTGACCTGCAGCAGGGCGAGGGAGTGGCTGACCTGCAGCAGGGCGAGGGAGTGGCTGACCTGCAGCAGGGCGAGGGAGGAGTCGCGGGTGTGGCCGGTGAAGAGCTCCATCTGCACGTGCTGCACGTCCACCAGCACTCTGAAGTACGTGAACGCCGCCCCCGCCCCTCCTTGCTTCGCCACCTCGCCCCCCCTCCCCTGCCCGCCTTCCCCTTGTGCCCCCTGCGCCTGCCCCCCAGGCACGGCCGCAGCAGGGGGCGGCGAGGATGGGGGCGTGGGCGAGCGAGGGGACGAGGGAGAGGCGGGGCTTGTGACACGGGTCGAGGAGGGGGGGGCGGCGGGCTGGGCGGATGAGGAGGCGGAGGAAGCGGAAGGAGGGGGGAGGCGGAAGTAGGGTGGGGGCTGAGGGGGTTCGGCGAGGTTGGCAAAGAGGCAGTCGCAGATGATGAGGTACTCGCGGTGACTCATCACCACCCTCAGCTCTCCCATCTGCTCCCACAAGAGGGGATGGGGGGAGGAGGGGAGAAAAGGGGTTGTGGAAGGGTGCCGGTGTGTACCACAAGCAAAAAGAGTTTGAAGATGCATAAAGGGGAGCACTCACAGCAAGGAAGGAAGCACGGCAGCATGGCAAGCAGTGCATGTGTGATGGTACAAGTGGAAGGTGGGGGGGCATACGTGGATGTGGAACTGGTAGGTGGGCAGCTTCTTGAAGAGGTCTCTGAGTTGGCGCTGGATGGTGAGTGTCAGCCCCGCCATGCGCTCTATCATGGCCGCCCCCGCCACGCCCTCCGCTCCCACCAGCAGACTCACGTCACGACTCTGATACAGCACGGGAGGCCAGACCGGGGCATGGGGCGTGGGGCGTGAGGATGGAAAGAATGGCGGTGATGAATTGATGGAGCATGAGAGCAAAACACAAGATCAGGCAATGGAGGAGATAAAGCACTCTGAATACACCTCACCTCCATTGTAATCACATCTCACCTCCACTGTAATCACATCTCACCTCCACTGTAATCACATCTCACCTCCACTGTAATCACATCTCATCTCCACTGTAATCACACCTCACCTGCATTGCAATCACATCTCACCTCCACTGTAATCACATCTCACCTCCACTGTAATCACATCTCACCTCCACTGTAATCACATCTCACCTCCACTGTAATCACATCTCACCTCCACTGTAATCACATCTCACCTCCACTGTAATCACATCGCAGCGCACAGCACCAGCATCCTCAATGGACTTGCCACCGCGCCACTCCACGCTGCTCCTGATGCCCATGTGCCCCAGCCCCAGCTGCATGAACCTGCCACCGCACACCACACAGCACACAACAATGCACACAGCACACACTCGGAAGTGATAACCTCCAACAGTCAAGGCCAGTCACAGCCCAAGTGCTCCAGAAGTATTGGCCCTTAAGCGCTTAGAGTGTGGAGCGGAGTGTTTGTGCAGGTGTAAACGGGGCAGCAGCCTAGAGCAACTCTTGGCTGTCTGTGGCAACTCCAAGCAACTGACTCTTGGCTGTCGGTGGTGCGAGGCAGGATGAGGATGGGCGCATCAAGGGAGACATTGTAGCGGATGCCGCTGCTGCCGGCCACCTCCCACTGCTGGATGCGCCGCTCGATGCCGCCCACCGCGTCCACCACTCGCACCACCATCTCCTGCCTCACCCCCGGCGCTGCCAGCCCCCAGAAGTACGCCATGAACTGCCAGGAGGGGGGTAGGGGGGAGTAGGGGTAGGGAGGGGTAGGGGGGGGAAGGGGGGGGAAGGAGGGGCGGAGGGGAGGGGCGTCGTGCAAAGCACAAGCAGCAAGTGGAGTCCGTTGCTCGCCGAGTGTGCTACTCGCTGAGAATTATGCTAGAAGAGCACACGCACCACCATCTCCTGCTGCACCCCCATCTTCTGCTAGCCCCTAGAAGTACGCCATGAAGTGCAGGAGGAGGGGTGGGGGGCGAAGAGGAGGGAGTGTCATGCAAAGCACAAGCAGAGAGTGGTGATACATTACCCATCGCAGCGCACTTGCAGCCACTTGTTACCTCCTGGGACAGGTGGCCATGCGTGACTCACCTCTTGCACGAAGCGGTAGAGGAAGATGAGGCGCACGGCAGAGAGCTTGCCATCAATGCTGTACTCAAAGCCCTCGTAGTCGTCATCGTCGGGGTTGTACGAATTGTACTCTATCTGCCCATGGGGCAGGGGTAGGGGGCAGACAGCAATGCATGGGCAGGCCAGGTGAGGCAAGGTGGAGAACGAGAGGAGGGCACAAAGACAATGCGGGGGAGCAGGGGAGGTGGACTGGCAGGATAGCGGCAGTGGCTGACAGCATTGATCAACTCTCACGGTTCACTCAGAGCAGAAACCATTCCCCCTCGTCAATTCAGAACCCACTCTCATCCACTTTACTCTGCCTTTCTTCCTGGTGCACCCACCATCTGCCAGCTTCTCCTTCCACCACCAAGCCTACAGTGAGATGTGTGTGCTCTCACATGGCACCTGCATTGCCTTTCATTGCCACGGCAGCACAGCTCACCTCAACCAGTGAGGCGCTCTGCTTGTCCCGCAGGTCACAGAACCAGCGCCAGGGGTGGGATGGTGGCAGCTGCAGGTTGCACAGCCGCAGATTGCCCAATGAGGCGTTGACACGTGTCGATGCAGGGAATACCTGAGGGTTGAGGCATCACACACAGACAATAAGTTGTGCAAATACGTGTGCTTGAAAGAGGAGAAGAGCAAGGGGTGGAAAACAAAGTGAATGGTGCGAGGGATAGAAGCTGCACGCTCAGCCTCTCCTGCTCACCTTGACCTGCACGCTCAGCCTCTCCTGCTCACCTTGACCTGCACGCTCAGCCTCTCCTGCTCACCTTGACCTGCACGCTCAGCCTCTCCTGCTCACCTTGACCTGCACGCTCAGCCTCTCCTGCTCACCTTGACCTGCACGCTCAGCCTCTCCTGCTCACCTTGACCTGCACGCTCAGCCTCTCCTGCTCACCTTGACCTGCACGCTCAGCCTCTCCTGCTCACCTTGACCTGCACGCTCAGCCTCTCCTGCTCACCTTGACCTGCACGCTCAGCCTCTCCTGCTCACCTTGACCTGCACGCTCAGCCTCTCCTGCTCACCTTGACCTGCACGCTCAGCCTCTCCTGCTCACCTTGACCTGCACGCTCAGCCTCTCCTGCTCACCTTGACCTGCACGCTCAGCCTCTCCTGCTCACCTTGACCTGCACGCTCAGCCTCTCCTGCTCACCTTGACCTGCACGCTCAGCCTCTCCTGCTCACCTTGACCTGCACGCTCAGCCTCTCCTGCTCACCTTGACCTGCACGCTCAGCCTCTCCTGCTCACCTTGACCTGCACGCTCAGCCTCTCCTGCTCACCTTGACCTGCACGCTCAGCCTCTCCTGCTCCAGCATGGCGAGTTGCCTGCCATCTTCGAGGTGAAGGAAGATGCGAGCGTGCTGCATGGCCATGTGCAACCCAAACACCACCCTCGCCTTGCCCCGCCCCAACAGCCCCTTCACCGCCTCCCGCCCCATCTGCCCCTCCCGCTCCCCCTTCTCCTCCACACCCTCTCCCTTCCGCCCTTCATCCCCCCCCCTGCTGCTGCTGCCTCCCATCCCAGGACTGCCAATATCAGCAGCAGGAGCAGCAGGCAGGAGAGCAGGGGCCGGGAGGTCAGCAGTGGGAGGCATAGGAGCTGCGCCTGTTGTGTGAGACGGCTGTGTGGCGGTGGCGGCAGCAGGCGAGGAGGGGAGAGGCGGTGGCGAGAGGTAGGTGGAGAGTTCCATGAGAGCTACGATGGAGAGACGGTTGCAGAAAAACTCTAGCGTTGCCATCTCCACCGCCACCTGCACTCGCGCATATACATACACGGCAGCACACGCACAGCAGCACATAGGGAAGCAGAGCAGTGGTACAGAGGTGGGTGGGTGGGAGAGCATGGACGAGAGGAGTGGCGAGGGGAAAAGCGTGTGGACAAGGCAACGACAATTAGCATCCCAGCAGCGCACCTGAGTGTCAACGCCAGTGTAGCTGGGCGATGACGGCTGGTACATGCCGATCTGCACCACCACAAAATCCCCCTCCTCCTCCTCCCCGCCTGCCCCCCCTTCTTCCTCCTCGCCTTCCCCCTGCCTCTTGCGCCGCCTGCTCGCCCCCGCATGCTGCCACCCCATGTCCGGCAGCAGCCGCCCAGCACGCCCAAAGCTGGGCACGTTGGCGGCGTCGCCGTCGTCCAGAGCGAAGTCGCGCGCATCAAAGAACTCCGCCGCTCCGCCGTAGCCCCCCGCCGCCTCGCCCTCGAATGCTGCTGCACCGTGGCGTGGTGTGGACGCCCCTGATGATGTGGGTGACAGCAGGAACTCCGCCTCTGCGTCTGCAAATCCATCGTCATCCTCTTCCTCTTCCTCATCCCCGCCCCCCTTGCTCTCCTTGCCTTCCTCCTCTTTCGTGCCCTCATCCCCTGTCTCAGGGCCCTCTGTTGTCTCCATTGTGCTCACGTCTGGTGCCACCTGCTCAGCCCCAGGCGCCACAACTGCACGCGTGTGCCTGCCACTCTCACCACCACTGCTCCCACCATCGCCACGCACAACCTCCCCCGCATCCAGCTCCTTCTGCTGCTCCTCCCCGCCCTCCCGTTCCCCTCTTTTGCGCGGAGCTGCAGCAGCAGCAGCAGCAGCAGCAGCAGTAGGAGCGCCATGGGGGGCGAGCAGGGAGCGCGCCATGAGGCGGCAGGTGGCAGCCAGCGGGCCAGCGCCCTGGAAGAAGTCCTCCACCTCCACCTCTCGCACACCCACCCCCACCGCCACGTCCGCTGAACGCTGCTGCACCTCCACCTTGCCCCCCGCCGCCCGGATTTCTATGATCCTCTCCTCCTCGTCCCACGATGCCGCCCCGCGCCGCTGGGGGTTTGGGAGGGTGGGCCAGGGAGGTGGGCAGGGAGAGGAGAAAGACAGTAAGAAGAGTGGTGCGTGGAGCAGCGACCAGGACAGGAAGAGCATGAACTCACAAACACACCATACGTAATCACTTACAGCTGTGCCTCAATCCCCCTCACACATTGTCAGAGCCTCATGCAATGCAACCCCTCATGGTGGGAGGGCCATCACTCACCACGGAGCTGATGGCGAGGCGCAGGTCGTCCAGGGCGCCCATGATGTACAGAAACGGCTTCTCCTGCGCCCCCGCTGCTGCTCCCGCCGCCATGCCCTCCCCCTCCACCACCACGGGCGCCGCACGCACAGACGGCGACAAAGGCTCTCTTGAGGCCAGATGTCGCTCAGGTGAGGCGGGCGGCATCTGACCAGGTGCTTCTTCAGGTGCTCCATCAGGTGCTTCGGTGGAGAAGGCATCGTTGGTGAGGAGGTCCATGGAGGCAGGCGCCTGTGGGGCACACGCACAGGGACGAGCAGGCAGAGCCGTGTTGGCACGTGAGCGTGAGAGAGCGGCAACGGTAGCCAAACGACTCGTGCTGGCCAAGGAGAGGCAACTAGCTCTCCAAGGGCGTCGCACGGTGGCATGCATGTGCCTCCCTGCATCCAACCTCGCTGCTTACAATTCTTAGTTCCTACAAGATGCTCTGGTGAAGGCAAGCAGTGGCAGAGGGGGGTGCGCCGCCATGACACTCACAGAGGCGTGGTAGAGTGCGGTTGTGAGGCGTGCAGCCCAGTGCGCCTTGATGGCCTCCGACTTGAGTCGCAGCACCACCGCCTGCCCTGACAGCACCACCTGCTCCCAGGACAGCCAGGGCAGCAAGGAGCAGCGACCCAGGAACAAGTAGCAAGCACAAAGGAGCAAGAAGCAAAGGGATGAAACATTAGACAAAGCACTCTTAATGGTGTACACCGAACCACAATGCGGGGAAGCCCAGCAGGGAAGAAGCGGCGCACATGTGTGGGCATGTGAGGTGCAGTGCGGCACACCAGTGAGGTGCTGGCGAGCAGCAGCATGGGAAGCGGCGCACCTTGGCAGGTTGAGCCCCCCTGGCGGCGAGGGCAATGACGTGGTGGTAGCCCGCTATGTGCTGCGGGGGCACGTCCAGCACCCCCATGGCGCTGCTCAGACTGCCATGCGTGCAAGGGGGGGTGAGGGGCATGGGAGCATGGCATGGTCAGGCACATGCATGCAGGCGGGATGTATGTTCACACAATCAGCATCAATCACTTTAGATTGTGGCAGAAAGCGGCGGGTGGCGTGCACGCCGTGTGGGGGAGACGGATTGTGGGGTGAGGCATGAGGGCGGGCGGGCGTACTTGATTTGCTTGTGTGGCTTGGTGGCCTCGGGATGGTCAAGCAGGTACAGTGTGGGCCCCACCAGTGCCGCCCAGTACGGCACCCACTCCGCTGCACTGCCTATGCGCTGCCGTGGGGCCATTCGAGGTGCAGGAGACGAGCATGGGAGAAGGGCGCAAAAGAGAGGGTGGGAAGGACGGACGAAGAGCATTGGAGATGGGGAGGCAACGAGATGAGCGGATGGGACAGGGAAAAGAATGGTTGATGTGATGTGACTTCACATAGAAATAGCTGCAGCACACAAAGACCCCCTTCCATCTCTCACCGTCCAGTCCACTGCAGCAGGCACACATCCCATCTCTCACCGTCCACTGCAGCAGGCACACATCCCATCTCTCACCGTCCACTGCAGCAGGCACACATCCCATCTCTCACCGTCCACTGCAGCAGGCACACATCCCATCTCTCACCGTCCACTGCAGCAGGCACACATCCAATCTCTCACCGTCCACTGCAGCAGGCACACATCCCATCTCTCACCGTCCACTGCAGCAGGCACACATCCCCCGCCTGGTCCGCCTGCTGCCATCGCCGCACCGCCACCGCCCCATCACCCTCACCCGCCATCCCGCCCTCTGCATCCTCGGCTTCAGCAGCAGGAGGCGGCGCGGGGGAGAGCGCTCGGAGGGCGCGCATGAGGCGGCGGTAGCGGGCGGGCGAGTAGTGGAAGGCGAGGCATGGCAGCCACACGGCGATGCGTGTGGTGGGGTAGCTGGGATGCTCCACCATCATCTGCATGGGCGGGCGGGAAGTGGGGCACTCGCACTTGCACTCATGCTCGTTTCCAGACTGTGCTTATGATGCAACACAGGCACGTGGTTGGTTTTATTCGAGCAGACGAGAGGAGCCCACCTGGTGCAGCACAGCAGAGAGCCCACCTGGTGCAGCACAGCAGAGAGGCCACACTTCTGCAGCAAGTCCAGGCGCAGCCCCCCTGATCCGCCCTCCCCTGCACCCTCCTCCCCATCCATGCCACCGTGCTGCTGTTGCTGGTAGCGGCGCCAGTCAAAGGCACCATCAGCGACGGACATGGAGATGTCAGTGGCCGTGATCTTGAACCGCGTGTACAGTGCTGCTGCCGCCGCCGCCTCGCTGCCCTCCGCTGATGGGTCATCCTGCAGGCGCGGGGTAAGGGGACGGGTGGGGGAGCGGTGAGGTGGTGACAGGGCCGTGGCAACGGTGAGATGAGATGGCAAAGCATGAGCAATGGCCAGCCACTGGCCAGCTTGTCACGAGCCGAAACACTCCTTGTGAGCTTCAAGGCAAGATGAGGTGAGCATGGGGAGGCTGTGAGCCTCGTCACGTGGCTGTAGGCGATCGATGGTGCGAGTCGGGGTGACCACTCTGGAGGGCGGCACGAGGCCATAGAGAGGGCACGAGGGCGTAGAGGGGGCACCTGGTCGGTCTTGAGTGTGAAGTGGCCGAAGTCCAGCAGCAGCTGGGTGGGCGGCTCCCCATGGGGTGAGGGGTCAGCGGGGATGGCCACCTTGGGTGCGTCCACGTCCAGGTCTATGGAGAACCTGGAGAGGGTTGGGGGGGTGGTGGGGGTTGGGGGATGGATATGCAACGGGCAAGAGGCGAGAGTGCAGAGGTGATGCAGTGGAAGGGCAGTGGAGGGGGTGATTGGCATGCGGTGTGTCGCTAGCAGCGGCTGCATGTGTGCTCCAATGCCTCCTCGTCCTCAAGGCCGCTGTTACAGCCCCAAGGCCTCCAGCTAACTCCTCTGGCCTCCCTTGACCCTTTTCCCCCCATTGCACTCCACCTTATCACGCCCACTGCAACCCAACTTTCTGCATCACACAAACCACCACCAACTTCCCACCAGTTACAGCCTGCGACAATCACACACACAAGGTGCACGCTGCAGCCACCCTACAAAACCCTCCTGTGATCACCCGTGTCACCCACCCCCCGCCATACCTGGTGCGTCGCTGAAGCACCTGCTGCAGCTGCTGCTGGGCCTGCCGCCGCACGTCCTCTAGCTTGCTCTGCAGGGAGAGGGGAGGCGTGGGAGCAGGACGGCAGGGGCATGGAGGGTGTGCAGGGCAGCGAAGGAAGCACTTGTGAGTTGGTATGGAGAAGGTCGAGCATTCTCAATTACCACGTAAAGGACGGTGGCAGTGAGGCATGGGTGCTTGGTGCCATAGTGTGTGGGTGCATGATCCGAGGGCAGCGCAGAGACAGGGGGACACCTGTAGGGCGGCGGCGGTCTCGAGTGCGACGGCAGGCGTGGCCTGCTGACCCGCCCGCAGGAAGTGCAGCACTCGGTCTATGCTGCGCCGCCACAGCTGTGCGGGCATAAAGCGGGGGTTGTGGGGGAGAGGGCGGGAGTGAGATTCAGAGAAACGACATCGCACGGGGGGATGTGAGAGAGCACAGCAGGGGTAATGGAAGAGTGACGGAGCATGGCGTGCAGGGAGAGAAGAATGCGAGGGATGTAGGGTGAGGGAGGAGGAGGAGGCACGAGGTATGAGGGACAAGGGAGGAGGGAGGGAGGAAGGATGTGGGATGAGGGACGTTGAATGCGGGAGGAGGGCGGAGTGGCGGGCACCGTGACGTGGCAGGGCGAGAGGGCGGCGATGAGCATCCAGTCGAGGTGTTCATCGATGGGGTGCTGCACGAATGATGCTGTCAGCGCTGCCTCCTTGCCCTCCCTGCTCACACTCTGTGTGCTCATGCACGGGAGCACACGTGCACACGTGCACACCCACACACACACACACACACACACACACACACGCACAAACACACAGGCACTCACACGCAAGCACGCACACACACAGCAGGCCAAGCCACGGGCAAGAGAGAGATTCCTGAGTGCACAGCACATGGTGCAAGTGAAAGCAATATGCGTGATGGCAGCAGTAGGTTTCAGAATCAACACCCATGCAACGCGAAACACTCCAATGAGGGTGCCTTCATCGCACCTCAATGAGAGTGCCTTCAGGCACGGAGAGGTCGTAGAGGCGCAGGCTGACATCGGCCTTGAGCATGAGGGGGTAGAGGCGCAGCGCCACGTGCAGGTGGTGGCACGACCCACACACCACGTCCACGCCCGCCCCCCCGTCCACCAGGCGCGCGCGGAAGCACTCCATGCCCACCTGCACCGCCATCTGCACCGCCCCCGCCGCCGCCTGCCCCGGCTCGTACTGCGCCTCCTCCCCCGCTCGCACCAGCTCCTCTATCTTCTCCCACTCCTCCGCACTCAACCCCCCCGCCCCCCCCTCCTCCTCCACCCCCTCGCCACCCCCTGCCTCCGCTACGGACGCCCCTCGCCTGCCGTACACCCAGCACACGCAGCACGATGGGGAGGCAGGATGAGAGGTGAATTGGGTTGGCACACGGACAGCAAGGATGAGATGTGGATTGGGTTGGCACACGGACAGCAAGGATGAGATGTGGATTGGGTTGGCACACGGACAGCAAGGATGAGATGTGGATTGGGTTGGCACACGGACAGCAAGGATGAGATGTGGATTGGGTTGGCACACGGACAGCAAGGATGAGATGTGGATTGGGTTGGCACACGGACAGCAAGGATGAGATGTGGATTGGGTTGGCACACGGACAGCAAGGATGAGATGTGGATTGGGTTGGCACACGGACAGCAAGGATGAGATGTGGATTGGGTTGGCACACGGACAGCAAGGATGAGATGTGGATTGGGTTGGCACACGGACAGCAAGGATGAGATGTGGATTGGGTTGGCACACGGACAGCAAGGATGAGATGTGGATTGGGTTGGCACACGGACAGCAAGGATGAGATGTGGATTGGGTTGGCACACGGACAGCAAGGATGAGATGTGGATTGGGTTGGCACACGGACAGCAAGGATGAGATGTGGATTGGGTTGGCACACGGACAGCAAGGATGAGATGTGGATTGGGTTGGCACACGGACAGCAAGGATGAGATGTGGATTGGGTTGGCACACGGACAGCAAGGATGAGATGTGGATTGGGTTGGCACACGGACAGCAAGGATGAGATGTGGATTGGGTTGGCACACGGACAGCAAGGATGAGATGTGGATTGGGTTGGCACACGGACAGCAAGGATGAGATGTGGATTGGGTTGGCACACGGACAGCAAGGATGAGATGTGGATTGGGTTGGCACACGGACAGCAAGGATGAGATGTGGATTGGGTTGGCACACGGACAGCAAGGATGAGATGTGGATTGGGTTGGCACACGGACAGCAAGGATGAGATGTGGATTGGGTTGGCACACGGACAGCAAGGATGAGATGTGGATTGGGTTGGCACACGGACAGCAAGGATGAGATGTGGATTGGGTTGGCACACGGACAGCAAGGATGAGATGTGGATTGGGTTGGCACACGGACAGCAAGGATGAGATGTGGATTGGGTTGGCACACGGACAGCAAGGATGAGATGTGGATTGGGTTGGCACACGGACAGCAAGGATGAGATGTGGATTGGGTTGGCACACGGACAGCAAGGATGAGATGTGGATTGGGTTGGCACACGGACAGCAAGGATGAGATGTGGATTGGGTTGGCACACGGACAGCAAGGATGAGATGTGGATTGGGTTGGCACACGGACAGCAAGGATGAGATGTGGATTGGGTTGGCACACGGACAGCAAGGATGAGATGTGGATTGGGTTGGCACACGGACAGCAAGGATGAGATGTGGATTGGGTTGGCACACGGACAGCAAGGATGAGATGTGGATTGGGTTGGCACACGGACAGCAAGGATGAGATGTGGATTGGGTTGGCACACGGACAGCAAGGATGAGATGTGGATTGGGTTGGCACACGGACAGCAAGGATGAGATGTGGATTGGGTTGGCACACGGACAGCAAGGATGAGATGTGGATTGGGTTGGCACACGGACAGCAAGGATGAGATGTGGATTGGGTTGGCACACGGACAGCAAGGATGAGATGTGGATTGGGTTGGCACACGGACAGCAAGGATGAGATGTGGATTGGGTTGGCACACGGACAGCAAGGATGAGATGTGGATTGGGTTGGCACACGGACAGCAAGGATGAGATGTGGATTGGGTTGGCACACGGACAGCAAGGATGAGATGTGGATTGGGTTGGCACACGGACAGCAAGGATGAGATGTGGATTGGGTTGGCACACGGACAGCAAGGATGAGATGTGGATTGGGTTGGCACACGGACAGCAAGGATGAGATGTGGATTGGGTTGGCACACGGACAGCAAGGATGAGATGTGGATTGGGTTGGCACACGGACAGCAAGGATGAGATGTGGATTGGGTTGGCACACGGACAGCAAGGATGAGATGTGGATTGGGTTGGCACACGGACAGCAAGGATGAGATGTGGATTGGGTTGGCACACGGACAGCAAGGATGAGATGTGGATTGGGTTGGCACACGGACAGCAAGGATGAGATGTGGATTGGGTTGGCACACGGACAGCAAGGATGAGATGTGGATTGGGTTGGCACACGGACAGCAAGGATGAGATGTGGATTGGGTTGGCACACGGACAGCAAGGATGAGATGTGGATTGGGTTGGCACACGGACAGCAAGGATGAGATGTGGATTGGGTTGGCACACGGACAGCAAGGATGAGATGTGGATTGGGTTGGCACACGGACAGCAAGGATGAGATGTGGATTGGGTTGGCACACGGACAGCAAGGATGAGATGTGGATTGGGTTGGCACACGGACAGCAAGGATGAGATGTGGATTGGGTTGGCACACGGACAGCAAGGATGAGATGTGGATTGGGTTGGCACACGGACAGCAAGGATGAGATGTGGATTTGGCCGCGGACAGGGTTTAGGGAAGCAAGCAAGGCTCTAGATCTCCCTCTCTCCCGTTGTCACAGGCAGCACGCAGCAAGCAGCAAGAAGGCAGCAGCAAGGAGTGGCAGCACGGCACAGCGCCCCAGCACTCGTGGAATCCCCGCATGTGACCTCCCCCCGTCTCACCAGGACGCGAACCACCCCTTGGCCTTGGGCTGCACTGCCTGCCGCTGTGCCTTGGGGCGGCTGCGCTCCGCCTGCGAGTGCGCCAGCATGCTGTGCCACATGTGTGGAGCGGGAGAGACGCAGAGGGCACAGGGGGCAGAGAGGGGAACGGCAATTGAGGGACAAAGAAGCGGCAGGTGACAGGGCAGCAGTCACAGCATGACATGTGGGGTGCGCACAGGCCTGACACACCAGCCATCTTCTGCCACTCACTCTCCCTCGTTTATTCTGCCCTAGCAACTCTCCCAACCCCTCCTCCTCTGGCTGAGAGCTCACCGCCAGAGCAGGGCGACCTCCACGCTGACGAGCGCCTCGATGGAGCGCATCTCAGCACTGTCCGCCACCGCGCCCGGCTTCACAGGAGCGCCCGACGCCCACGCGTCCAGCAGCGCCTGTGCGTATGCCGCCACGTAGCGGCGCCTCATGGTGCAGCTGTCCTTGATGCCCTTCCATGTCATCGTGGGCCTGCATGCAGTGCGGCATGGCACACTCGTCAGTGCACGCAAACCAGCAGCACCTGGCACTGGGATGGCACATGGCAGGCCACAGCCACGGGCAGCAGTCAGGCGTGCAGCAGGGCGCACCTGAGGGCGTGGTGTTGTTGCAGCAGGGCGCGCGCAGCAAAGCGCCACCAGAGGGCGGCGTGGGAGCGCACGGGCAGGCGCGGGCGCAGGTGAGCCACGTCCACACGGCGACGGTACAGCGCTGCCGCCTCCATGAACCGCATCCCGTCCGAATACTGCGTCTGTACTCGAGGACAGGGAGGGAGGAGGAGGGGGAGGAAGAGGGGGTGGTACACGGAGGCAGAAGAGCACGCGGTGTGCACTGTGCATGTGTAGGGGTGCACAGATGTCTAGACCCTGCAAGTTACTGCACTGACCTGTGAGAGAGTGAGCGCCACCTGCCCCAGCTGCACTGACCTGTGAGAGAGTGAGCGCCACCTGCCCCAGCTGCACTGACCTGTGAGAGAGTGAGCGCCACCTGCCCCAGCTGCAGGGCGGCCGTCTGGAAGGGCACGTCGTCACGCCGCCTCTCCTTCTTGCTGCGCCGCTCGTACCGCATCCTGCCGTCCACCGGGTGCAGCAGAAACTGCCGATTCGCCGCCCAGTCAGTAGCACCTGCACTGGGTGGCGCCTCCTCATGAATGCCCGCCTCGAATACCTGCCAGGGGGGGCAGGCAGGCACCAGCACGCACAGCACAGCAGCACATGGAAGAGGGCGGACTCTCAGGGCCGTTGAGCACTGAAAGGAGCTCACTAGTCCCGCAGACCCTTACCAAGGACATGTGCAGGTAAGGGGGAGGGAAGGCGGGCGGGCATACCTCGCTCCACTGCGCGCCTTGCATGGCATCCCACGCGGTGTGTGGGTCCCACGGCCCGCTGTTGCTGTCGTGATACACTGCCAGCCGCTCCAAATGCACCGCCTGGAAGGAGGGGCACGGACGGAGTGTATAGGATGCCATCACGCATAGGGGGGGCATGGGGCAGCAGAGAAGAGGGAGCATGGGGCAGCAGAGAAGATTGCGCATGGGACAGCAGAGCAGAGAGAGCATGGGAACGGACCTTGTAAAGGCTGTCAAGCGCCCCGCTGGTGACGAATGTCTCCACCCAGTTCTCATCCGTGGTCACCGCTGCCAGCCGCGCCAGTGTCACCCCCGTGCAGAACGGGCGGCCCGACAGGCTGTGGTAGCGTGCAGGGACGGGAGGGGAGCAGGAAGGAGCGCATGAGAAATGAAGAACGTGGGGATAATAGCTGGTATGATTAGCCAAGGACGACAAGCAGGCAATGATTCAGAGAGGCGTCATGCTGCTGCTGTGGTGTGTGCGAGCTGGTGTGGGTGTAGCAGGAGCAGACCTGCCGGGGTCCTCGTATCGGATGTGCACGTTGGTGAATGAGATCTTGATGTTGCCCACTATGGTGGCGATCAGTGATGATATCCATGATGCCCCACTGCCCGCCTGCCACCACCCCGCATGCATGTACGCCATGCCATGCAATGCAATGGCAGCATGCCATCCACGCAGTGAAGCAGCACCATTCATTCCACACCACATGCGTTGGAAGGAATTTCAGAAAAGAAAACTATCAAGAGTTGGAACAGTATTGCAAACCAGCTAAGCAACGCACTGGCAGCCACATAACCTCCTGCACTGCCACTCCTCCTGCACTCCCCCCACTCCTGCACATTCTTGCCTGCTCTCAAACGGTATGGATCTCACAGCAGGTACAAGCAAGACGGAACAATCAGGGGCTACGTATCAGCCCTCACATGACTAATCTCGCCTCACTTCTTCTCTCCCTCGACTGCTCACTCTCCTCTCACCTGCTCTCATCATCCCCCACCTGCCCGTCGCCTCCTGCCTTCTGTCGCTCCCTTGCTTCCAGCATTGCCACCTCCGCCTCCTGCACGTGGGAGCACAAGAGAGGCAGTTAGATGCACGTGGCAGCACATGATCATTGCATGCATACCAGGAGGTGCCAGTGACACACACACTGAATCGAGTTGACATATTCTCGGCAGCATGAGGCCAGGCGCAGTGGACTGGAGACACATGGCATGGCGTACCTCTATTCTGCGCCTCTTTGCTTCCAGGCGCTGCTGCTCCTCCTCCTCCGCTGACTGCACCACAATCATAAAACGTTCCTCAGGCACCCCAGAGCAGCAGAAGTAAGCAGTATGAGACGGATGGCAAGTGCAATGCAACAAACCCTTGGATACAGAGGCGCGACAACTGGAGCATAGGAGATGCAATAGGCAAGCAGAAACAATAAGCCCAAGCAGAAACCCTAAACCCAAGCAGAAACAAAGAGTGGGCTTGTGGATATATGTGTGGGACAAGAGGCATAAGCAAGAAAGCGAGAAGACAAGCGATAGAGTATCAAAGGGGGAGAAGGAAGGTGGGAACACGGTTAGGAGGCATGGTGGGAAGGAGGTGGGGGCAGGGGGGAAGGGGTGGAACGGAACCTGATGAGAGGCGGAGGCGGGGGCGGAGGAGGGGTGGGCGAGGATGAAGACTCGGTCCAGCAGCAGCACCACCGGCTCCACTCCCAGGCGACTCCATGGCACCTGCACCGCATGGCACCGCACCGCAAAGCACCGCACCGCATGGCACACCACAGCACCACGGTCATGGATGGCAGAGCATGGCCCTTCACAGTGCAGGCAAGTCAGGGCATATCATGGTACAGTGTGATGTGAACCACCATATCACACCACAGTTCCAGAGCCTTGGACGACATTCTTCACACCATTGCGGAGCATTGTCACAGTGCTGCAGAACAGCTCTCGAGAAGTATTTCAGGCACACACAGCCCATACAAAGAAACACTATCAGACATTGTGTGCACAATATGGCATATTATGATACAATGGCACATTACGTACCACCATGTGTGCAATATGCAACCATTCCGGCACATTCCGGCACATTATGGCACATTATGGCACATTATGGCACATTATGGCACATTACAACACAGCGTGGTACATTACAGCACACCATCTGCGCATTGAGTGACCATTGCGACACATGATGGCACATTAACAGCACAGCACACTACCGCACATTACAACAAATTATGGCACAACAGGAGCATGTTATGCAAACATTGCCGCCCATTACGGCACATTTCAGCACAATATGGCACCTAATTGCACAATATAACACATTACGGCACATCATTTGCCCATTATGCGACCATTACGGCACATTAACGCGCATTACGGTACATCATGGCACATTGTGAACCATCATGCAAGTTACCCATCATGGCACATTATGACCCATCATGGCACAGCACATGATGTAGGCATTAAGAGACCATTTCAGCACATTCAGGCACATTACGGCACTTGATGTGCTCGTTATGCGACCATCATGGCACGTCGTGACAGGTCAGCAACGGCCCAGCGATGCTGCCAGCCCATCTCTGAGATAAGGTGACGACCGGCAAGGACGCGACAGGAGAGGATAGGGTCAATCAGACCAATTCAGGAAGTCCGAAAAAAAAAGGGGGCGAAACGCAAAGACAGGAGCAGCGTGAGTGCGCGCAGGGGGGTGTGCGGGAGGGGGAGCGGAGAGGAGACCTTGAGGTTGACGGATCCGATGAAGCCGGCCTTGACGGCGATGGGCAGGCGCAGGCGGTTGAGCGCCTCCTCCTTCAGCTGCAGGTCCCGCAGCACCACGTCGCCTGGTGGGCATGCGCGCATGGCCCGCCACACGCATCCCCGGCACCAGATTGACGCGCGCAGCAACATGAAGAGGCACAGGAACGTGAGCCGGCACGAGAAGATAAAGAGGCATGGCAACTAGCAGGCAGAGAAAGATGAAGAGGCACAGCTATGCACAGGAATACGCATCACCAATAACGCTGAAGCACAGAAAACGGCAGAGAACCATTTGGCATGACAGTGTATGAAAGGGGATGAGAGAGGGGGAGCGGGAGGGGGAGGATGCGGGGTGTCTGACCTTGCCAGACGCTGATCTTGAGGGCCTCGTCTGGGATGTTGCGGACATACTCGCCCAGATACTTGCGCAGCAGGCCCAGCACCTGCAAATAAACTCAACCACGCATCAAAGGACTTGTTGACACCGCGCGATGATATGCATGGTTGGCGTCACGTGAAACTCGATCGTGGCCAAGTCGAGTCAACTTGGAACTCTGCTAACTGGATTTGAGACACTTAATATCGACAGTAGAATCCAAACAGTCGAATTACGCAACCCGCAGCCATCAAGCCCTCCTGATGTCTCGTTGGCCCAAGAAGCTAGCCAGGTTGGCGTCACGTGAAGGCCGACCTCACTAAGCCAAGAAACTCAGGCCAATAAACGGTGGACTTACGTGAGCCTCAAACATGGTTGACGCTTTTCACTCCCAGCCGCTAACTCCCTTGCTTGCTGCTCCACTACGCGCCTCCTAAATTCGTCTGAAGGAACATCGCGACTGACATTCGGGAAAATGACGGACCTTCCCAAGAACCAGCACAAGCAAACAGGGGCATTGGCGGAGGGTCTTTCGTGAATTGGCTGCAGTGGAATCTCCGAGTTTCCTCAGTGTATGGAATTCCAGTTTTAGCTACAACATAATCTCCTATTATCTTAATCTCATAAATCTAGAGTTCATTTCAAGAAATGCTTCTTCATCCAATCCCTCTTTTCAATCAAAAATGGCAATGCCTTGGTTCTGGATTTCCTCAATATTCAAACTTTTGATGGCACGTTGGCCTTCTTCATGTACTCTTATCTTCTTAAACAAGTAGCGCGTTAATCAGGGCCCTAGATATCAGACTTTTTAGTCTGAATCAGAGTCCGTTCAGACTTTTTTTTGGTACCTAGTCTGAACTCCAAGAATTTTTTTTTTATGTACCCTGTCTGATTTTTCAGAGTTTTTTTGTATGAGTTGTCTGAAATTTCAGACTACTTTTAGGAGTGTAGGCTGAGCCTCAGGCTTGTATCGGGGGTGCACTCTGAAACCGGTAAAACAGGGGGTTTCCGCCAGCCTGGCGGCGTGTAGCACTAACGTTGTCAATCATGGGCGGGAACCCAAAGTTTACCGAGCGCGGCACCGCACAGTCGCGTTGGTACAGAATTGCTGTAATCAGTACCAATTCCAACCAATCGCGGCTGTGCAGCAGGTAGTAGTACAGCGTGCTCCTGTAGAATCTCTGTCAGACTCTGATGCAGATACGTAAATTTTGTTGGTGCCTTGATATCAGAGTAAATTTTGGGTGTTAGTCTGTAAGATCAGCGTAGAAATATTTGTGCACTCTGAACTTTCAGACTAAAAATTGCAGCCAACTCTGACAGCCAGAGTACCAGGAGGGGTGCACTCTGAGCGATCAGAGTGCCCCCAAACGAATCTAGGGGCCTGGCGTTAATATTGTACAGAAAATGTGCACCTTGCAGGCCCCCTGAAGTCAGAAAATTTTCTCCGATTTCCCTAAAAAACTCTGATATTTCAGCCTTTTTTTTCGAGTGAACTCTGAAAGTTCGGCCTTTTTTTTTTTTGTCAACTCTGAATATTTAGCAAAAACAAAAAATAGGCCTTGTCTGATATTTCAACCTTTTTTACAAAGTGGACTCTGATCCATCAGAGTTGTAGCGAGGACCCACTTTGATTCTGTCTAGGCGAGATTTGAGCTGACAGCCTTGATCAGTGATAGATGTACAGTTTTGTCCTGTCGGTCAAGCTAAAACAGTGACAGCAGTCAAATTTGTCAGAATAGTAGGCATAACGAGGAGCCATAGCTAGGGTTTACCTAGCTAGGCAAGAGAAAGATAGGCAAAAGAGGGTTTGAACTAGAAAGGAGAGGGATACAAATAGCAAGCCCACAAGGGTTATACTCACTATTGAGTACCCCACTACAGACTAGACAAGCATAATATTCTGACACACCCCCATAGTCAAAGTGGGGTATAATCAGCACAGCAAGCAGTCATAGAGCAGGTTCACAATGATAAGCAAAGCTAGAGGCTATCACAGAGGGCAAGTGAGGAGGAGGAGAGACTGTGGGGGCGAGAAGATAGGAGGCGACGGCTGAAGCTGCAGACACACGGGCGACAGGAGCGGCTGGCACAGTGGCTACCGGGACAGCGCCCCGGACTACTGGAGTAACTGGCTCGGCGGCTACGAGGAGCGGCAGGAGCAACGGACCCACGGGCGACAGGCGCAGCAGGCTCTCTGGGCTACCGGAGCAGCGCCCCGGACTACAGGTGCTGCGGACGACAAGATGGCAGCCTCCGCTCAACCTCCCCCAACTGTCCCACCCCCCTTTCACACACCCCTTGCTGTACCCCTAGCTCCACTCCCACGTCACCCCCCTAGCACCACTCCCTCAGCTCCCACACACCCACCCCCCTCAGCGACAGCTGCAGCAGTGGGAGACGAAGGAGGAGGAGGGGCAGGGGACGGCGCACACACCCGTCACCCCCATACCCGCCACCCCCAAACCCTAAAACGGGCAGAACGGGGCAGGAGCGCGGGCAGCAGCGCGGGGGACGGCGCGCGGCCCCCAGGGCGCCACGACGGACGACGGGACGGGGGGACGCGCGGCCCCCGGGGCGCCTCGAAGGGCGACGGGATGGGGGGGTCGCGCGGCCCCCATGGGGCCGCGACGGAACGACGCGAACAGGGGGGGGACGCGCGGCCCCCGGGGCGCCTCGACGGGCGACGGGATGGGGGGGACGCGCGGCCCCCGTGGCGCCGCGACGAGACGACGGGAAGGGGGGAGACGCGCGGCCCCCGGGGCGCCTAGACGGGCGACGGGATGGGGGGGACGCGCGGCCCCCGTAATGCCACGACGGGCGACGGGAGAGGGCGCCGCGGGGGCCCCCCGGGGCACGGCGACGGGCGACGGGAGAGGGCGCCGCGACGGACGACAGAAACCGCCGCGCGCGCCCGGGGCGCACGGCGGGCAGAAAACCGCTGCGCGCCACGAGCGCGCGGCGGGATGAAAAAATGTCGCGCGCCCGGGGCGCGCGACCAGCAGAACAGTAGCAGCGGAAGCAGTAAGTGGGCCCACAGGCCAAGAGCGTAACAGCTCTGATTCCATGTCAGAATAGTAGGCATAACGAGGAGCCATAGCTAGGGTTTACCTAGCTAGGCAAGAGAAAGATAGGCAAAAGAGGGTTTGAACTAGAAAGGAGAGGGATACAAATAGCAAGCCCACAAGGGTTATACTCACTATTGAGTACCCCACTACAAACTAGACAAGCATAATATTCTGACAAAATTTTGGACGACGAGTCGGCGACGCAGTGTTGCGGCGCGGTAATCGCCTCGTTTTAGGCTGATCAATCAGCCTTGCTACTGGTGTGAACTCTGATGTGGTCCACATGTCGAAGAAAAAAGCACAAGTAGAAACGGAGAAACTACCGCAGTCGAAGAACTGCGACTAAGTTACCTCAAAAAACAAAAAAAAACAAAAAAAACAAACAAAAAAACAAAAACAAAAACAAAAACAAAAACAAAAACAAAAACAATAGTTGAAGGGCCAAATTAGTTTCAAACACCGGCCACTTGATCCTCTCTTACGCATTCCAATAGAAAATATGGATATAACATAACATTGGGTCGAACTAATCCTCGCCTTCGTATTTGACGCCTTAGCCGAGGCAAATTCATCAAAACCTACAATTGGGCAAGAAGAATAATCACGTCAGGAAAACCTTCACCAACCAACAGTGGGATATCGTGCTCGCGGAGATGCGCTCTACAACGGTGTGAGCTAGACTACGGGGTTGGCACGGGTTTTGAGAGTGATCGTAGCTTTGCCTGCGTTCTCTAGCACTTGCGCATTCACAGGGAGAATTGACAAGAGTTTCACTAGCAAAGTTGGGATTACAGAATGATTGGAAAAGCAATAGCGGAACTGACTACACCAGAGCCTAGCAACCTAGCAGGCAAGCTGGTCGACCGCCAGCGCAGCAAGGTCGACATCTGCCAGCGTTGCGTAGAGGATCCGCGCCAGCGTTGCAGAAAGGCGACCTGCCAACAGAGCATGTCGGCGGCTTGCCAACGCTGCACCAAGTTGATTTGCCAACGCTGCAGGAAAGCGGTCTGCCAGCGTTGCATCCGCACGTGATAGCAGCGCAGGTGCGCACCCACTTCGCAGGTGCGCGGCGACGGTCGAGCACGTTGTGCACCGTCGCACTGGTGCCAAGTCGGCCACGTGCCGACAGTTGCGCCTGATGCTCCACGTCGACCTCGGGATACCAGCCCGAGGTCGCCTTCGCCATCGTAGCCTCGACGATGTTCGCGCGCCTCCGCAGAACCTCGTCGAGGAGGTTACTTGGTCGACCGGGTACGGACCCCAGCGCCCTGGTCGACGACCTTCCTCGTCGACCACCACTCTCGTAGAGGACCACCCTGGTCGACGGACCCCTCCGTTGACCAGCTCGGTCAGCTGCTGCTGTCGAACTCCCATCTTCGACGGACCCTCGAGAGTCCCGCGCATGGATTGACGACCACCTTCGTCGAACTCCCCGTCGAAATAGGCCGCCGGCTCCCGTCGACGGCGGCGTCATAGCGGTATCCTGCAGGTCGACCAACTTCATCGACCTGCACGCGTCGACTTCTGCAGACGGTCGGCCGCACCTTCTGTGAATCAAGAAAACAGGAATGGATGAACTATGAATGAATTGGGTACAAGTACTAACCCTAATTGGGTTGTACCCCTTATGGAGTACCCCACTATAGCCTACACAATATGCATGAGCTATGATGTTCTGACACACCCCCATAGGCAAAGTGGGGGAGAACAAGGGGTCACAAGACCAGTCAAGCAAAGCAACGCAAAGCAAGCTCAGGGTGGATCACAAAGTCACCACACATTCCGAGCACAAGTTCAAGGCCACAAGGCCAGTTCACAAGCAGGAGTACACATATATATAAAAAGGCTAGACAAGCAAGAGCAGGTATATATATATGTAACAGTACAAGCAAGGTCAAGAGGTGAGCAAGTGAGGCAAGGTAGGCACAAGGCCAAGCTGAGTACAGAAGCGCTGATGGTCACAAGGCGCAAGTGCCTTGGTGAAGATATCAGCAGTGTT